TTTCAGAACGCCTACACCAGTGCGGCCAAAATGGAGAGCTGAACCCTAAAATTCTGCCCGGATAGATATGCAGATGATATGCAGCGTGGTTTTGGTTAGATGCCAGCTTGTTCTATATCTGTTCTTGTTGGTGCTTGGTGTTCTTGCAGAGTGTTCTTGGCCTGCGATCCCCAACCTGTTTAACACTCCCCAACCTACGATCCCCGCAGGTGACCTCCGATGCGTTTGCGGGCCCCAGACAGAGGGTAGCGGTGGCGATCGTTTGGCCATGCAAAGGTCCACCGATGGGTAATGAACATGGCAGATGAACATGGAAGTACTATACTTTGGTGGGCACTTTGTTTCACCGTTTTGAATTCTAGATAGTTCTTGTAACTGTTCATGTCCTTGAATGGATTCTTTGTCCATAGGTTATACTCCCCTGCAGATGAAGATTGAACATGATGGAATCGCAAGGCGGTCACTTTGTTGTAGAGGAAAATCGTCGAAACTATGGATCAATTCTCAGACTTCCATGAGATTGACTGCGGAGGGGGTAATCATCCATGGACAAAAGCCGCAAACTCATTCATGCGTAGGTCCATCTAATTATAGGTCCTTGTCATGTATATGTGGATTCACATACAAGTCCCAGAAGGAAAATGGAACATGGATGGCGGATTGTCTGAGCTTGGATCATTTCACGTGTTTCTTGTTCTTCTGTGGATCCCCTTTCCGGCGATAGCAGGTGAGCTGGACAAACCACGGGACTCGCCACCCAAATCTTCCACCGAGGAAGGACGAGCAGATTCAAAATCTGGAGAGGCCGAAAAGCGCGCGGCGTGGCGTCACCCGTGCGTCGACGTCTTCGACGCTGCTTTCGTGTTTTCTTCTCCGGCGCTTTGGTCGGAGTCGGAGAGCAAAAATAGATGGAGAAGGTTTGGGCAGCGGCTATGATGCCATTACCTTCACGTATACTTTCCATTCGACTCACGTTCCATGGAAGATATGGAAGTGGAAAACCACCCGTTTCAGAGGGATGTAAACGTTCTAAGCGGCTATTCTCCACTTTAATGTTAGTGAGTCAGCGTGTACTATACTTATGCTTTGGTGATTTGATGCACTCGCAGTTTCCACTCCCATCAAACATTTTGTGATTTTAGAAGAGGCTGCTTGCAATTCATTCCTGGAGCAGCCCAATCAGATCCTGGGAAGGGCTGGTGCCGAAAAGGAAAGTGCGCGAAGGAGCAATTTCTGTGGTTGTTCGAGTCAGGCCAAACCAAACTCATAAAGCTCGATGCGCACTTTAAGGGGTGATCCGCCATCCGCCACGTGGATCGATGCTCCGGCCAGAACTTTGGCACCTGGCCCAGTGCCTGGGCCCATCCAATCCATTCCAAAGCAGAGAAGGGTAAGGTTCCTAACCGCAACCCCTTTTCCTTGAATCTCAAGAGTTGCCAAGAAGCATTGGTTTAGACATAGACATTGGATGAAATTGGTTTTGCTATGCAACATGCTCCGCACATCTCGAAACATTTGTTCAACTCTTTCGTTCGACTCCCCTTCAGCCGGGTCGGGTGGTCGCATCGGACCGAGCGCATTCGGCACCCCAAAGAGGTCGGTGCTAAACCTGGTGAACCAGGGCGCCTCGCCGGGCATGCTGGGGGCACCCAGCGAGAAGGCACCGTGCTTGGATCTCCCCTCCAACTCCAGGGGGGCTTTGCAAGTCCCAATCTCCCTAGAATTATAGCAATTTTAAAGATGAAGAGAGAATAGGTTCACCTGCAGCTTGTCCCGTCGTTTCTTTTTGTCGGAAAGCTGAGGGAGTCCGTGGGGTGCGTTTCTGTTGGAGTTCTCGGTCTGGTCTTCGGCGTTCGGCGACTGGGAGAAAGACGAGACGCGTTCTGAAGGGAGGGACCCAAAAAACCCACAGCTATAGGTTGATGAGGGGGTCAAATTCCATGGTGTATGCCTTCTCCATGTGAATAAACCGCCATTAAAACAAAAAAAACAACGACAGTTCCCCAAAAGAGCAGACTTCAAACCGTTCCTTTCACCTCCCGGACGGGTTTTCACCCCGTTTCACGGCCTCGGTGTGCGGTCTGTTCGTGTGAAACGCCGTCAGACCGGGGCCTGACGGGTCACGTGAACGTCCGGACGTCCTGAGGGTGGCCTTTGTGGAAGAGCTGAGACAATTGGTGGATGGGAAGATGAAGAAGGAGTTGCTCCGTCTGTTTTGGAGCAGCACTGTACTGTGCGTGCGTGAGGTCGGCAGGATTTGAGGTCGGTGTGTCTCAAACTCTTTCGGGATCGTTTTTAGGTATCAAACCGCAGCCCAGCCTTTCACAGAAGTCGGTTTGTCACAGGGGCAGTGAATTCGTCATTCAGATTCCCAGCTTTGTTGGGCGTTCAACAGGGTGGTGTTCAACATCGCAAACAGGTTTCTTCGACAGCGAAAACAGGGATCTGAAGGTGGGGCTACAATGGTGTGGGGTCGATTGTGTACATCAATAAGGGTCTTCAAGGTAGCTTTGGGGTCCTGAACTAGGATGAACTATGATGAGCTAGGCCTAGGCGGCCTGGGAGCAATGCCACTTCAAGGGCTTCACACAATCAGGGCCTCCACATCTCAGGATTGATGTACCTCTCAGGTTACTCGTCCATCTTGTGAACTAACTCCTTTTGGCGCAACAACGTCACGAGGAGCTGCGAAACCAGCAGAACACCACGCAGAGCACGCTGAATGCTGCTCGCTTCCGAAAGAAGGGCAGAGCCATGATGGCAGAGTCGGGAAGCTTTCAAGGATGAGTGATGGCTTGCATGTCTTGAAGTTCTTTTGTTCCCCCTTCAATGATTTTCGGAGCCGTGGAGATCTGTGGAGGTCGAAAGGAACATACGGTTGATCGACTTGCGACCCCCTCAATTCTGCACCCAACCTGTCCTCCCTGATTCTTCAAGCATCTTCTTGGACATCACTCCGGCCACCCGTCCACAAAATCCCCTGCGCCTCCGCCGCTCGGCTGAGGCCCACTTTGGAGCTATCGCACACTGCGCGCAGCAAGACTGGCGAGAAGTGCTGGACGTGGCGCTGGGCCAAGACGCCGGGGGCTCAGGCGAACGCTCGCGGAGCTGCTGGTTCTTCAAGGACAAAAATTGTGCAGATCATCCGTGGAAAAGATAGGTCTTTGAAATTAGAAACAGGAGAAGGATGAATTTTGGGCCTCACATGAGCTCCCGAGGTGAAAGCCAATGCCTCCAGTGTGGAGAGCTTCGGCCTTCAGCCTTTAGCGCAGAAGCACAGGCAAACCTCTGGGGCCGGAGGACAACAAGGAAAGACTTGGTGATTGCATGATGATGGTGGCGTAGCAAAACTAATATTAGAACATGCACATTTTGTTTTTGGCATTGGGACGGCAACTAACAGTTCCACCTTGTTCACTAAATGAACCATATATATATAATACATAATATATCCGTCCATTCATTTGGCACTTTCATGCACTTTCCAATTTGACACGACACAACGACGGCGGTGCGGGTCACAAGTGATGGCTGCAGGGTTCAAAAAGTCGGGGGACCTATTCAACAGAACACTTCGTGAGGAAACCCCAGTGGCTTTTATGCCAGCTGGAGCGTGCCGAGGAAGAACGCGGAGCCCAGACCCCGTTTTTGAGGTTGAGAGCCTTTGACCGGATGTGTATTATAGCCGCCCATGCCGGAACCAATCGAACCTTTGTTACACTGCCATTGGAGGATATTGGCTGCTACAGAGTTGCATGGGAGCACCACCCTGCTTTTTGAAGATTCAACGACTTAAGAAGCAACATTTGAGGTAGTGCAGGAAGTTGTCCATCAGCATTAAGACATATTAACACCATGTATGCCCCAAAACCTGAACACATCACCATCGATACTCCTTGGACACTGCATATGTGGCATACGTCATCCTCCAAAGATCGCACAAACACGTCCCGAAAATCATCGAAGTGGATGGCATGACGCTGGATGCCAAAACCCTTTTGAGGCCTCGGTAAAACCGGTGGGGAACACCTCCTCGCCTTGACCCGTCACGACGTGTGTTGACGTGTCTTATTACCGGTCAGCACCCGGAGAGTGGGGCCGGTCTCCACAAATCGGCCACAGAGACGACCCGGAAGAAAACAGAAGTCAAACCATGTTCTTTTTTGGTTTTCACATGTTTTTCCTCTACTGTTTTCTTTTGATTATATATTGTTTTTTTGTTTTAAACGTTTGTTTTTGGCTTTTCTTTTTTTCCTGATTTTTTTGCGTGTCTCCAGAGCTTTTTCCGCTCCGGTCTCCGTCGGTCTCCGCCGTGGGCGCTGAGTGGCAGGCTGTGCAGATGGGGCGAGTGGCAACGATGGGAGGAGAAGACGTCGACGCAGGCGGCGATGGAGAAGTCCAAGGAGTAGAAGGGGGGCTCAGAGTGGGCTTTCTGGGAGGCTCGAGGCGCCTCTGGTGGGCGTTTCTTTTGGTTTTTGGATGGCCCAAACTGGGGATCCTTGAGAGGTTTGGATGGCTGGGAGGTAGGGATGATTGAAATGAGGAGTGCTGAGCTCAAGGATGCTTTGGGATAGGTTGAGAGAGAGTTTGGCATTGGGATGAAGGGTGAGAACTGGGCGAGTTTTCATGTATAAAATCTGTCATGTCAAATCTCAAACATCCGGCGACTCAGCTCGACAGGTAAGTTGCGACATTTTGTCTCAACAAAGCTTCTTCTGTGTGTGGTTTTAATTGTGATTGCTTTGTTCCAGTTGTTTTTGATGAGTAAGAAGATGGTCAGAGAGTGACCAGGTTTTAGCTTCCGAAACAAGAAACGCGCCTTCCGTCGCACCGGTCACACACCTTCGGGCAAAAATACCTGTCAATTCACCTTCGGGACACCCGAGGAGACCGGAAAAGACCGTGAGGATCGTGCGACCTCCATCGCAGCAGCGATAGCGTGTCGTTTCTGCGACGCCGAGGAGACCAAAGACTACCTCTGTGGCCTCTATGCGGGCAACGAGAGCCACCGCGCGGCGCCGGTCCGGTGGCAAAGGATGGGGGGAAGACGGCAGGCTGGGGGAAACGAAAGGATATGCAAGTGATATTTGGAGAACTCTTTCCGTCATCCACGGTTGATCATGTTGATTTGTCGTCCATGCATGAGTCCACCTCTCTCAATTACTCAAGCGAGTCCACCAGGAGCTGCTGAGCCCCATGTGGGATTTGCCACAAAGCAATTCACATCAAAATGCAAGGCCCACTGGCCAAACGATGCGGTTCGCTTCTGAGGTGGGCGATTCCGGGAACTGCGTCATGGGCAGCAAATACCCGGCCAGCAGCCAGACCAGGCATGGAACGTCCAGATGTTGCGCGGAATCCATTTGGACTGGGTGCGACTTGCGACTGAACCATGAGCTGAACCGCAGATTGGGAGACGTGGGGTCTCTAGTGAGAAGCAACCTGACACAACTCTGCGCAAGCGCGAGGCAGGTTCCTCCAAAGACCAATTCACATTCATCATTCATCACAAAGTCACACCTCTAAGCAGCTGACCCCGGTCCACCCACTCGAGCCACCACAGCATCCTGGTTGCATCCTCTCGCTTCTCGTTTCTATGAGAGCGGCTTTGGCCTTTGGATGCGGCTGGGGGGCACTCGTGAGGCATATCGACTTCCTGCGTGACCAGTTGGCGTGGTGGGAGGATCAGCTCCAGCAGATCCAGACATCCCGTCACTTGGGTGTGGATCACCGTTGCCAGTGGACGGAGGCATCGGAAGAGACCCCAGGGAGAACAGGAGAAACAGGCCAAAACTGCTAGGAATTCTCGTTCACCGATTCCTTTTTGGGCGGACAACCCATATTACTGTAGGATCTATTGGGTACCACCTGCTCAACTCAAGAGCTTGACATGGTCTTCTTTTCTTCACCACTCTCCCCACCACCGAGGTGTTCAATGCACTGCCGCCAGCGAGGCTGGGTGCGGTTTTCGCCGCGCCCCGGAGGATGGAGGGGGGTTGGACCCGGCTTCAGCAAACCCTTTCCATTGGCCTCGGGTCCGCACTCTGTAAAAATTTATGTTCAGTGGAACCGATTATGACATGGAGCCCGAGGATAGAAACCATCAAGTAAACCATGGATGGATGTCCTTCCCTGGGCACAAAACAAGATGTATTGCGAGTCACTTGGGGCACAACATGTTCCAAGCTCAGCATACCTCAGCCTCTATGTTTTATTTTATTTTGATTGGTAGTGGTTGTATTAGGTTGCATCCTTTCGTTTCTTCAGTTCTTCTGGGACGAGTAGTCGCAGTCACTAGCTTGATATGTTCAGTTCAGCTGAAACCCGTCTGTCTTGGAGTGCAATCCGTGTGTCATCCCAACGGTTGCTTCTTTGACGCCGAGTCGCCCGCGTTCCGACCGGACGCGCCCCGCCCCGGACCCGCCTGGGCCGGCCTCGTGCGCCGGTGGCCGCCGCGGTCTCCGGCCAGCCACGCTCCAGGCCTATGACAGTGCTTTGGCCATGTTCCAGCAAGCCTCCACGGCCGCCGGGCGAGCAATTTTCGGCGAGGGAGACGCGACCGCGTGCGCGCTTCGCTTTTTGGGAGAGCGCGGTCCCGGAGTCCTGCCCTGCTTCTTCCCGTGGGGGGGGTAGAGTTGAAATGAGCTGAACTGGAGCATGCAGCATGCATGATGACTTCAAGTGAGTTGTGCTTATTCTGGTGAACTAGGCCAAACATTCAGGATCATTCAGGGTTTTCTGCGGCTTTCTGTTGACAGAAGCAAGACTAAAAGATACCTAATTAAGTAACTATCCAGCAGTGGTCAGAACAATCTAGACATGTTGCGATCCCCTCAACCCTCTAGAGGAGATTTGTGTCAGCAAAAGGTATAGCCATGTCGGCGATTGAATGCGCATGTCCGCCAAGGCACATGCTGATGTGCAGAAGACCTGCAACGCCACACAGGCTTTCGGGAGATGTAGAGAGATGTCAAAGAAGCTGCTCATGTCTCACGGGCAAGAGGTGGTTAAGCCGAGAGTCCCCAGCCTGATGGATTTTGAGGGTGTGAGCTGGGTAATCCGCACCCGGAACAGTCCAACAATAATCACTCCTTGAGTGGCATTTGGTCAACGTTCACTCAATATCTATCAAGTCGATTTCCTGCGTGGGGGACAACCTAAGTTATACTGTAGCAGTCTCACCATTGGGTCAAGACCCAGAGCCATCAGCCATCATCAGCGCATGACCGGGGAAGCCAGGTGCAGCTGGATGAGGCATCCTGCCGATACAAGGCGTACAGCCAGAAGGTGAGGATATGTGAGGATGCTACTGGCCGTGGTGTCATCGGTTCCGGGAGGATTTCAATTGATCCTGATTGACGATTGGAGATGAAGACATTGAAGGCATGGTGGCGGCAGGTAGTGCGTGCGTTCCTACAGGTTTAGTCTGTACCTGGTTTGAGCATGGTCGATCTTGCTTGCAAAGTATTTGTTGGAATAAATGCATATCAAGTCGTATAATCCTTTGTTGGAAGGGAGAGACTAGTGTACCCTAGTGAGGACCCTAGCGTATTCCATCATCCCACTCTCAGTGAGGACCACTTCTCCTAGGTACCCAAACCCTGCGACCCGACCGTGACACCAACCCTCCCACTGATCGCCCAGAAGTGCGAGCTGATCGCCCACTGCGCTGACACTCGCTCTTTCTGCCAGGGATGGCTGTGGGATGTGGGTGTATTTGCTGTCTGTTTTGGGACTCTGCGGACTGGTCGACCCTTTGTCAAATATCAGTAACTGATCAGTGGGACTGATCAGTGGGATTGGACTATTGGACCAAGATGGGAACAAAACAGATGAAGTTCCCAGGTGCGCTTAGCTTGTTGGGATACCATTTTCCTTCAAGGTCACATCTGGGCACTGCTAGCTAGAATCAAATCTGCTGCCATTAAGAAACCTAGATGGTCTGTCAAGTTGGTGTGAAGAAAGATGATTACCTGAAAAAAGAAATGTGACGTTCCTAGGTCGACACCGCAACTACAGTGGATGAACATCCCCAGAAATCTATTCACTCCTTCGATGTTACTGGATACCCAGTACTGGCGGTACTGGCTCCACAAGATGTTCAATCCGCAAAGAGACATGCCATGTTTTCGAGTCCCCTCAACCTTTGACACGGCATGGAATTCCAACGGTTAAAAGGCGACTCATCCAGCCACAGCGGTTTCTTCGTTTCGATGTCTTCCAACCGCTCCCGTCGACCTCCGGCTCGACGTTCCTCCCGTCAACACGGCGACCGCTGTCGACCGGGGTCGCCGGTTGAGGACACCGCCTGGCAGACCTACCACGACACCTGGAACGAGGCGCTCACCGAAGCGCAGTTCCTCCAGGCTGTCGGACGGGCGCGACACGGCGCGGATGGACGAGGTGGAGGTGGAGGGAAGAGGACGATCGTCATGGTTTCGTTTGAGAAGTGAATTTCCGTGGTTTCCAGCATTTTCCAAAGGCCAACCCGGTGGTTTTGGGGGTCTATGATGTTCCATGTCCGTGCTGCGGCGGAGTAGCGAGTAGCACTTTGCAGCTTCCCATTTTGCATAGCTTTTAGACCCGCCGGGCTTAGGGGACGATTCTTTTCAAGATGAATCAAGGACTCGACTCCGGTTGACTCTGATAGCAGGGGGAAGATGGGGGAAGCATGCTTTTTCCCGCTTTGAAACCTCTGCCCTGCGATGCTTCACGGGATTTTTGTTTTGAACTCACGAACAAAACACAAGAAAGCTTGTTTCGCCCCCATCGCTCGCTGCGGGTCCGCCAGGCTCAGATGAGGGCGCTCCTGAGGATCGAGTGCTACCTCGGAGCTTTTCAGCCGCTGGGCCAATGGCAGGAACGCTGGGCCGTCCTGGCGAAAGAGCTGCCAGGGCTGGATTTCTGGGCGATGAATGTGGTTTTTGAAGATCCCTTCACAATCCTTCACAGGATCAATTCTAATAAAGAAACTAATCATGTCAACTGCACCTAGACCTAGACGGCGCAAAACTGATTGAAAGCAAATCAAGATCATGCAAATATATTTATACAGTAAGTCCTTACACTTCGACTCACTAACATGGAAGTGGAACCCCCCCGGGTCGTGAAGGAAAGCAGCCTAGCAAGGATTCAAAGCGTTTGCCAGTCAGAGTCAGAGTGTTGTACTTGGGTTTTAAGTGTCGGATACTTCAAGTCAGGTTTCGACGTGGTCAGAACTGAAGCTACAAAGATACGATAAGTCCACAGACAAGCCTTTGTTGAGAACTGTTAATATGCTGCAATCCCCATTAGACTCATTAGACTCATAGAAACATGATCGCCATGAAGGCAGCATTTTGCTTGGCGTGCCACTGGTGATTCTGGGGAAACATTCTACATGTCCGTGGGAATACTGCGAAGCTGTACCAGCACCCCATCAAGGACTCCCCAAATACTTGGATTTTGGCCAAGAACTCCTTGCCGCCCCCCCACACCCTCCGACACATCAGGTTGAGCAACATGACCGATGGCATCCTGCAGTGCAAGCGGAAGGACTGGGAATACTCGTCGCAGGTCGTTGCCACCCGATCTTTCTTTCCATCTCATGATCAGGTGTTAATGACACTCCCTTAGTCATGGAAATGGATGGCCTTTGTTTTTTGATGACAATTGTCCTCTACAAACCGGCGTTTTTCCACTTCCACGGAACGTGACTCGGAGAGTGTGACTCTTTGTTTGCATCGTGAGTTTCCGTGGTTTCCGTGGCGCCTTGGCTTTGATGGCAAGCAACCTCAGTCCGATCTCTAACCCTACCCAAAAAAACACATTGAATGCAGAGTAGGGATTTTAAAGCATCTCAAAAACTCTTTAACAACTATGACTTGTTGATTGATCTGGATTGGAGTTCCACGAAAGAACCTCCATTTGGATCCATTTGGCTGTTACTTGGCCGGTCCAAGCAAACTTTGTCTTCTGCCGCTGTTTGTTCCAGCAATTTCCTGTGCTGGATCTCAGAAGTTCCGCAGGACTTCCACAATCACACTCACGTCACTTCTTTGGCGATCCTCGGACTAGTGAGGAGCTGGGAGGAGTTCTTTCCGTTTTTTTTGACCCACAAGAACCCTTCAAAAGCTGACCGAACCGGTGGAGCGGTGTTCGGACTCATGGGCGTTTCCGGATGTGATCACGGTGTGCGAACGGCGTTTGCCGTGGACCTCCGGAACGGTCGCCGGCGAAAAGCACCGCTCCAGATCCTGCTTCCGGAGTGGGACAAGGGTTTTGTGCGTAAACCATATAATTAATGTAGACTCTTAGATGAATAACCTCGCCCCAATTGGACATCCTTTTCATATGGGGAGTTTATTGATCAAGAGTCTACATGAATGAGTCTACATTATGGATAATTTATTTGGATATTCCCACTTCAAGTCTTCAGCCGTTTCAAGACCTTTGTGATTATGTTTAAAACCAGTGGCCCTGAAAAAGCAGATCCAGCATGATCCAGCCATGTTCATCTGAGGGATTGATCAATGGTTGGAAGATGGATGTGGGAGAAGTCTCTAAATCCAATAAGATTCAAAGATTCAATAGGTCACATGGTCACACATGGTCACACTCAATTCAATAGGTCACACCGGACCGTACGTCGAATGAAGCACAACAGAATCAATTGGGATCATCTGCAAAAGAGCGCCCACCCAGAGTGAAATCAGTTCGGAGTCATGAGGCATTTCGAAGGCTGTTTGATTATTTTTTGGAAGAAGATACCATTTGGTGCATCTCATAAGGGCGAGGGTTGTACTTTGTTTCGGGACCAACTGCACCGGCTTGTCCGACAGCCTTCAGACCTCCTGTACCCGGCTGAACTACAACACGGCCCTCTCGACCAGCGGACATGTGCCCAGGTTCCAGCCACAGGCGCAGCCAGCGGCTCACAGTTGCCTTGTGGCACCTTGGTTCGAGAAATGGGGCGGAAGATGGCGGAAGGATCTGGAAGGTTTCAGGGCTTGGATGGATCTCACAACCGCTTCTTGCTTTTGACCTTCATTTGGAGATATACAGCTCGGAGAGCTCCGTCCTCAAGGGTTCCGGGGAGGGAGTACTGGACCCCTTGGGGCCCGTTTCTTCGTTCTTTTTGTTCGGGGCATGGGTGGTCTGAGGCCCTATTTTGTAGAGAGGTAGGAATAGTATGTATGGAAGTGTTGGGAGTGTTGAGATGGATGCCAGATTCTTGCTTTGGCGCGATTGGGTGGCTCTTGAAAGCAAGATCTAGAATCACATAAACATATGTCAGAACAGTTGTCTCTTCTATCTATAGTCCATTATAGTCCTTTGGTATTCCTTTGGTTTGTATAAAACAGCTTGGGTTTGTCACTTCTTTGCATCACAGCTTGTGCGTCTTTTGGGCCAGAATGTTTCGACCACCAGGTTTCAAACTTGCTAGTAGCATGACAACAACTGCCCAACAGAATCGCTCTCTCTCAGTCCTCGGTATGTTCGGCTCAGGCAAAGCACCAACACATTGGAACATCCGGTAGCGAGAGGAAATTCCAACCTCCCCCGATGCGGATCGAATCCCAACATATAACGACGCATTCTTTGGAATTCTTTCCCCCAAAAAGGAACAGCGGAACAGCGGTTTGGTCGCAGTGGCGTTTCGGTCGCATGTATGCATGCATGTATGTATGTATGTATGTATGTATGTATGTATGTATGTATATGTTTGCATCCTCCGCCTCAAACCTCTCCCAGACTCCAGAAGAACACACTTGATCCACGAGTAGAGTGAGCTTCGACAGCTGATCCAGATCGATTCATCATCCCTATGGACCTTTGTTGAAGCATGGCAGGCACCCCTATTGAATATATAGACATGCCCTCCTTCCGCACGGTCCGTGTGGGGCCTGGATCGGTTCGACTTTCGACGCGTGTTTCACCTCCTACACCGGAGTTGTGGTGCACAGCCCAAGAGGCCCAAGAGTTGGAGAAGAAACGCGAAAACCGGAAGCCTCTGCAACGAAGAGCGTGCAGACTTCCTTCGGCCAGGCTCAACTATCTTGCGCTATGTTGTTTTACCAGCGCGGAAAACAACACCATGCAGACCAGTTGTAGATCTGGTTCTCATGGTGTTTGAGAGATGATAGAGATGTTTGGATGACCTGATACGACCATCACCAGCAGCGGTGTGGTCGACCGCGGGTCCCAGCTGGGACCGGGGACCCGGCTGAGGACAAAGAGAATGTGGCCGGGTTCTGTGTCTACGAAGGCTGGCCGAGCCCCGTTTGCCACGTGCTGTTTGCGACGTTTGCGCCCAGGCTTTGGTTTGGTGCGGGAAGGATAGTTTAATGAGTTTAGAGGACCTGAGGATACTCCTCCCAGTTTGCTAGAGATATCAGATGATCTTGCAAAGCAGCTCCAGCTATGGAGACTCGGGCATGTCAGATGGGCCGATGTTACGTCTCTTGTCCTCCGGGGAGACGTGGTGTCGTCCTTCCATGACCGTAGGAGTTCGGAGAACAAAACCCAGAATGGGGTGGTATATAGTAAGTGAGACTCCTGAACCTCCCAGAGGTCTATGAAAAAGCCTCGGGAGGGGTCCTGGTACAGTTTCAAAATCAATCCTCTTCTTGAGGGACCTTGCTTTTTCCCCTCAGAGTTCATTTCCCAGACCATCCATGTACTTGTATGGACTGTATGGAATATTTACCTACATTGACCGTGAAAACATCTTAAATCATCTTAAATTGACACACATTTTGACACCTTTTCATTTGGAAGACCTTTTTTGGCACGTTCCGTCCGGAAAAAAGAAAACACCGCCCGTCCCGGACTCGTCGGGGAAGAACCGAACGACCCGGGACGCGCCCGGACGCCAGGGAAGTATTACGCCAACACCTCCAACCTCAGTCGGGTGCTCAGTAACCCGGAAGTGGGAGAAGGAGAGGTTTTGGGGCAGTAACCGGAGTGCATCACTGAATACATCAGAGCGTAGACGAGCAAAAAAGAAAGAGCGTGGAGGTGTATTGAGTTACAGCATTTGATCCTTGTTAGTCGGACTCCTACGGTCGATACCGTAGATACCAAGTTCACTGCAGTATGCCACTATGCAGTCTCTCTGTATAGTCCTTCACGAACGCCGTCTCTCCGGGTCTCTCCCGCGTCTCTCGGGACCTCCCAGCCCAAATCACCCGCAAAGGAAGGAGCAAGAGGTGGATCCCACACAGGTTGGTCCTGGACCGCGGGTCCAACCTCCAGTACGCCCCCAGCATGGGGAAGGACTAGGAGGTGCGTCATGGAGCGGAGCGCAAGTTGTGGAGATGAATTGGATTACATTTGATGCATGATGTGATCATCCGCTCAGTGAGAACGCCCCCTGAACCCATTGCTGTATGTATCATTTCTTTGTCCGCCGCTGAGGCCAACCCTGTGCAGCCTCCTGCTGCCACAAGACTTGCGTCCTCTGAGTGGGGATGTTGTGGTCCAGGTGCCGGTCCATTTCGGGGGTTGTACAAACAAGCGTTGAATTGTGAAAAGGAGGCGTTGAGGCGATATCTTAATATATTTTGTAGACAGTTCCTTTTTGCAAAAAGATAGAATCTGATGTAAGATGGAATCTATAAATTTATAGATCCCTCATGCTTGTAACATCGTGAAGATCCCCACTGTTGGCATTTAGGCAATCCGTGCTTACTACTGGAAGGTACACCAGGTACTTAGATCCTGTTGCAACATTGGAGTTGAGGGAGGGCTGAAGCTTTGGAGGGGGGTTGTGCAAGGGAAAGAAGCATCGAAGTGTCTATGCACATACGAAGACCCTCCAGCCCCGTGAAGAAGAACACATATCGACCCAAACCTATTCGGCCAGGAGGGCTCACGATTTTTCATAGAGACTCATCGAAGTTGAGCAATGATTTTCAGTGCCCCGCAATCGGAGTTGCCCTTCGCAGTTGGACCCGTGCAATCGGCGCATCAGCTGGGCTTCGGCCTCTTCAGCATGTTGGCCCCATTTCACCTCTCGCGACCACGAGCGTGATGGAAAAGATGGTCTGTGAAGAGAGGACGACGGTCCAAAGGGCAGCCGATCCAAGCACTTGTTTCTTTACTTTTTCTCACTCCAATGTTGAGTTGACTGGACCAGATATGAACACTTGAACAAGCGGAGTCGCGAATTTTAACAGGCCTTCTCAGAAGCCTTGCCTCATGTCAAGAGTTGGTGGGGAAGACCGACGTCAACCAGTGTTGTCACTGACAAAATCAGCCCTCGGGAGTTCCGTCCTGAAAGTCATCAGCAGGGGTCGACTTATTTCGTGCACTTCCAATTGTGCAGGTAGGACTCTCTTCGTTGAGCCAGCGAGATCGACATTCATTTCTCTTGCGACAAAAGACCACGGCCCAACACACGGCTCGGGCGTTCTGACCTCGCCGAGGCTTCAGCTGCTGAGTGCCTGGCGCTACCAGGCGCAAGAGCAGAGGCACCTGCGGCAGCGCCTGCAGGCTGGGCGGCAAAGCGAGGAGAGACGGAAGACGGGACAGAAAAGGAAGGAAGCCAACTTGCGGATGTCAACATGCAGGTTATGTGGCTGGACAGACTAACGGTAGCTACGGATGTAAAAGATATATTGATTTGCTGCGCATGGTTTGAGATGGTTTATGGGTATTGGACTGCTTGGGCAGGGATTTCAATCCGATCCACTAGCTAGGATAGCTTCTGGAAGATTCAGGTGTCAGCCATGTTTCAGGTCCTCCAATTGCCCCTTCTCCCATCGCCACGGTCACTGCAGTCCGAGCAGAGCAGCAGTCGGCAGCTGGACCAGGCCTTGCAGAGTGCAGCTTTGGCGCTGGGAACTGAGAGTGGGAAACGAAGGAAACGCGGGGTGACTCCCTTTACTAGATCCTTTATACTCCTTTGGACCGTAGTACCTAGTAGGGTAGAACATCTGGGAAGAATATCAGTTCGGAGCAAGGAGTTTCTGTAGATTTCTCAAACATGTTGGGCTGTTGGGAGACGGAAATACGGAGAGGACGTAGGAACAAAAAAAAGAAGGAAGGATCCGGCATTCTAGGAGCGGTTGGATCATGTTCACTTCACCTGTAATTAGGACGTGGGACTTCCACATATTCTCACTTTGTGTCCTCTCCATGATGCTCGACCTCCTAGGCTTGAGCGATGCCAAGAACAGCCAGGGTGCGGGGCCAAGATCTTGGACGGCGATGGGACGGAGTACGTATATTGTGGAGTTGGTCAAACCGCTGCGCAAGAAAGGGGGTGGCTTTGACATGTTTTGGATGGCTCTGAAAATCGTGTTTAAATGTGTTCAAACTTTGCATTAAATGCTCGTGCTGGTTGTTCCAAGGTAAGGAGTGACTTTTCACGTTTATATAGATTGACTTGTGTGCGATTACCCACCTTTGAACACATCGAACCCACAGAGAACTTTAGAACAGGTCGCTCAAGCCCAACGCAGCTTTTCTACCACGTCACTGCAGCAAGGTATTAGATGCCTAGCTTTCGTCCCCCTTGGGACTCTGCAGGGCTTTGCAGCCGCAAATGCTGCTGTTCAATCACATGCCTATGCGTGTTCAATAGCCTGGGCAAGCGCAACTCTACTCCCTGTTTTCGCTGTGAGATTTGGCTTTGGAAGTGGGAGACCTCTTGAGGATGCTTCAACTCGAAAGTCTGAGGATTTGGGCGCCTCCTTGTTTCCCGCCTCCTTTTGAAGTCTTTCCACCGGTGCTGGTGGGTACTGGAGGGTTCCAGGTGTGGCAACGCCTTCAGAGATTCCATGAGATCCTCCAGGTGACCAGGTGACCCACCGAGCCGGCAGGCCGTAGATTGAACAGACAAATACCACATGGCACCTGGACGTTTGGAGCACCAAGGAGCCAATGGAGCTGGCTGTTTTCGCCTGGTTTTCATCGATCTTCACATCTCCGCTCCTTTCAGGACACAGCCTGCCCGAAGATACACACTGGCCGGAGGGCGGATCTGTCCTTCGCCCCGCATGACTCAATCGGCCCAGGCCCTTCCACTGCCGCCTGCTCCATGAGTGGCGTCAGCTCGTGGTCCAAAGGAAGACCAGCACCTCGGCGATGCACCGCACCGTTCGCGCCGGGTTTCTTTTGGATGCGCGGCGTCCGTCGGTTCCGTCGCCGTCCGGGGAAGGCGCGGAGCTTGTAGTGGGGTCAAGACTCGCCCTACGTGCTTCTGGTAGGGGCTGTTCCAACCAGCCCCCTCCGAGGAAAAGGGAGCAACTGCGGGTGCCCCGGAAATGAAGATTCGATAGGATTCGTAAGGGTGACAGAGTTAGAGACTCGGTGATCTTTGTTTGAGAGCTTCTTGACCTTAGAATCTGGGGTACCCGAGGTTTTACTTACACCAAGAGAATGGGAATCTTCAGAAGAGTACGTCACTGGACAATCCCAACCACTGGCACCATCTGGCACCTGCTTTTCTGAAACCACCTTTTACCTGATCAAGATGAAGCTCCATAGCATCTCCGAGGTGCGGTGCGTCATGGGCAAAGATCACGCTACGTGCAGCTGCAAGAGGCCAAGGACCAGGCGGAGAGGGAGGATGGTTGAGGAGCCATGGGTTTGTTGGCACGTCCAGCTGACATGGGTGGGAGCGAGGGGCACGTGTCTAGATTGATGCGAAGAACGGCACTTGAGTGAAGCTGTAAGAATACCAAGCATATCCAATGGTTGTAGGCATTGTAGGCAATGTCAACACAGGATTGAGGAATCCTCACATTAATACAACAATAAAATATAAATTACTATGTATATACAATAATATAATCGCTAGCGAAAAACCTTCGGGCCCACCGTCTTTGTTCTGCAGAAGCCCCTCCCATAGGTCCAGGATGGTCTCTCAATTGATTTCTTTAGAATGAGGAGATGAGTCTGGGAGCAGCTGATACAGACCCCCAGACCACCCAGACCCCAGGTGAATCGAGGTCTTCTAGATCATTCAGTCCCCCACTCCAGACCTATCACTGTTCTGTACTTTTTGGATCAGATCTTGAGGGAGTGAATGATTTTTTCGGGGTAGATTTTGAATTCACGTTCCAAAAAAAAATGCACGTTTGTGGCTTTCACTCGTCTTCACATTCCGCCACAGTCATCCCTCAGAGCCGTGGGGATTTGCCTGACTTGCCCGTCGAGCGAACTGGAGTTGACAGAACTGGAAGAGCATGGAGACACCACAGCACCCCTTCCTTTTGCTGTCGATTCATGAGTCTTTAGAGTCCACTTCAAGCTTGGACTTTCGTCTTGGTAAGTGTTCATAGGATATCCATCACTGCACTGCTAGTGGTTTTTCAACAGTGCCGTCACTCTTTGCACGGGAGTGGGCTCCCATCTTAGAGAACGAGCGGGCTCCCTTCTTCGAGAACTCCAAGAATTCGAACTGAGCGCTCACAGTTATTTTAAGCACCCAAAGCAAGCGTTCATTTCGGGCACAGAATCGCAGCAGAGCGACGTTGAAGAGATGCTCCACTGAGCAGCTCACAATGGCCAATTGGCAGTAATCTAAACCAGAATGCAACGGATCAAATTTGCGCAACAGCTTTGCACGTGGCAGCTCTCAATGGCCACTCGGAAGTGGTGCGACGTTTGCTTGAGGCTGGTGCACTACAGAATGCTGTGGACAAGAATGGTGCAACCTCTTTGCAGTTTGCTGCTCCGCAACGACCACAGAGAGGTGGTACGATCTGATCAGCAGAGGGCACAAGACGTGCAAAGTCGATTGCTACGTCGGCTAAGTTTGCTCCTGCAGACTTCGTGCAGAGAGGAATGCTGCAGCGCAGGAGTCTGCATGAGGTCCCTCCGGTCACGAGGGACTTCTCGAGTGGCTCAGGAGCTCAGGAGTGGCTCTCCACGAGGCTTTCCGGGAGAGCCACTGTCCTTGCCGGCCTTCCCCTGGGAATAAGCCACCTGTTGGGCTTTAGGGGGGGTGTCAGATGTTGAGCCAATCGATTCTGGACCAGAAATGAGGCCAAGCAGGGGCAAGCTTGCTTGCTTGAGCAGCCTTGGATGTCTTGGGTTTGTATTCCGGGTGTTCGGATGTCTTTGGGTATTTTCTTTTGCACTCACGTGATGTGAGTTCCAAATTGTTTTTCAACCCGCATTCCTAGACTCTGCGACCACACGACCACACTTTGGATGAACATTGCTTCAGCACAGCAATCCGGAGTCAAAGACTTACTGCTGTGGAATTCAGGACTTGGGAGTTGTACAGTTGCACATGAAAAAAGAACATGAAAAGCACCAAACACCATCAAGAAACGGTTTTTGCTTCTCGGATATAAACCACTTCCGGCGCCAGGCGATGCTCCTCTCCAGCTGTCCGGCGCCCGTACTGCGCGCGCGTTCGTCCGGCATTGTTCGGTGGTGCCTGTTTTTTTTTGCGTCGGTGGGTTTATGGGTGGGACGCATCACTCTGAACCAGCCAAAAGAAACATGGGAACGGGTGGAATTCTTCCTGAAGGATCCAAATATAAATATATAAGGTTTACACCTTTATCACTGTATCACATAATTCGTATTTCCCAGCACGGACCCATCTCGGGTGGTTTTGCTTGCTTGGGACATACATCTTCACGGTTTATAAACCACCCGATCTGGGTGGTGCAGTGATACCCCTACCTGTATCCTCTACAGAATGCCAGGGCTTGGGCATTGATATAAGGCTTTTTTTAAATAGAGAAACTTGTCTTACCTTTCCAGGTTTGGCATTTTGTAGAGGAGACATTTTGGAGTTTCTGGAAGATGTCGATTTCTAACTTGCAAAATTGGTACCCTCTACAGAATGCATCATGTGCAGTTTCTCTGTTTTTGGAACCCCTTTTTCCCTCATGCTGTATCTATCCCCTTCCACAACCTTCTCATTTTGTAGAGAGTGTCCCTGTCCAAAATGCCCCTGTGCGTGGGCATTTTGTAGAGGCTCTGTTTTTGACTTTGGATCGCAAGTTTGTGATTCTCTAGGCCTCTGGGAACCACTTTTTTGATTTGTAACTACAGAATGCTTAGCACAACCTCACCTGGCTATCATTCAGGGGGATGTGCAGTGCTGGTATGTAAATATATATACTTCAGGCAGACAAAAGTTTACGCTTGTTAGCCTTCTTACAAAATACTCTGAGGTCAGCGGCGGATCGAATTAACAAGTCTAATTTTCGTGGCAGGTGTGGGACGGTCAATTATCACACCGTTTTAGAGGCTTTCCGGGGTGACAAGTGACCGCCCACACCTTTCCTTGTCTCATGGTGTAGGATTCTACGGGGATAGGGTTGTCATGAGTTTCAACATCAAGAAGCGCAACTTTCGTCTGGCCAGTGCGTTAAAAAAGAGGTGTTGCATTGACAGGTAACTGATTAGTCGTTTTTTAAGCGAAATGTCAATCTATAAAGTACTCTGTCCTCTTTACAGCTATATATTTACCAAACGTTAAAAAAGGGGTGTTGCATTGACAGGTAACTGATTGGTCGTTTTTTAAGTGAAATGTCAATCTATAAAGTACTCTGTCCTCTTTACAGCTATATATTTGCCAAACATATCTATATACGTATAAATATAAATAGACCAGAGGTTGAACGGGTGCACGTTTTGTACATTTTTGCTCTTCGCTGCCCTTCAGGCAGACAAAAGTTTACGCTTGTTAGCCTTCTTACAAAATACTCTGAGGTCAGCGGCGGATCGAATTAACAAGTCTAATTTTCGTGGCAGGTGTGGGACGGTCAATTATCACACCGTTTTAGATTTATAAAAATAAAAGGCTTTCCGGGGTGACAAGTGACCGCCCACACCTTTCCTTGTCTCATGGTGTAGGATTCTACGGGGATAGGGTTGTCATGAGTTTCAACATCAAGAAGCGCAACTTTCGTCTGGCCAGTGTATATATATACGTGTCTCTCTCTATATACTGTATATACTTATGATATATAAATTAATTGTAGTCCCCACTGTTGAAAGTTCGCTGGACAGATCCAGGGCCTGCGATCGCTGGGTCTTGGGACGTGCTCCTGGGTAAACGCCAAGCCAAAGCCGCCAAGCCGGTCTTGGCATCGTTTTGCAGGTGCCCTCTATTCTGAGAGACGGGTCTTTGGTCATTGGCTCATGGTCATTTTTTGGTTGGAAGATGTGGACAATTCACTGCAACCACACGAGCTGACCATCGCTCGACCCTCTCCACAGTCGATGAGACACAGAAACCGAGGGCCCTGTGTTGAACCATTCGATGTGTGCGGATTCAAGAGGGTCAGTCCAGTGCTGTCAGTACCCAACCAGAGAGAATGTACCCAGTCTTGCAACGTTCTACACGTCGGCACCCATTCCGGACCTTCAATTCCGTTGCCCTGGGCATCACGTTCTTAATCACCCGCACCCAACGGCGCTGGCGGCAAAAGCCACCAACGAAGTGGAGGTGGAGGCGCTGGGCTCGGAACTCCGATGAACGTCCGAGGCCTCCGCCAGTGGCAAGGCCAGTGTCAGCGCTCTGCGGCCGAGTGGCGGACTGCCCAGGCGTGATGGTGAGGAGGTGGCAAAGCCATAGAACACCGCAATGCTCAGAGTACTCGGTGACAACTCTGTTAGAGACCTTAAATTTTACATGAGGAGGAGATAGAGGTATACACACATATGCGCCTTTTAAGTCCATCTACTGTGAAGATGTACTGGAAAAGAACTTCAAAGGAACCAAAAGAAAAACCCCGCGCAACCGCGCGCCATCTGCACCTCGAGCAGTGCATCTGGCCCACCCGGGTGAGGCAGTTCGGCAAGCACAGCAACAGATGCACCGGAAGACGCTGGATGCCCTGAGGCCGGGCATCGACGCTGCGGTCGTCGTGCGCTGCCTGTGTAACGGATGAACAAGCCTCACTGCACTGATGTACGCTGTATACTGCTGTGATGCCTTTGATCGAGGGTGTTGGTAGATTGGTAGGGCGTACTGATTGGATCCAGATGCACCACAATTAAAAACACGGAGTTCAAACTGTTTAGTTGCTGATGATTGCTGCAGATTGCCTTTCAAACACTGGCTTTGCATTTGACCCTCCCAGCTTTTGCCACATCCTAAAGATGTCCAGCTGGTCATGCTCGTCCTTGCTGTTTGCATGGTTTGCATGTTTGCATGTTTGCTGTTGTAAATAGAATCATATTTTGTCATATTTTGTCCTATTTCTACCACATCCGGTGCTTGCTATTTGGAAAAGGACCAAAGGTGGAACCAAGTTCCGGTGAATTGATTTCTACCACATCCTTTGCGCTTCAGATTGTATATACCCGGATGGTGCGTGTGTTTGCCAATTCGCGTCCTTCGGTGCCACCCACCGTGCCGTGCCTCAGGCGTCGGCAAGAGGGTGATGCGTGCGCGCTGCAACTGCTACATTTTGGGGTCCGGGGCCTGGCGTCCAGGGCCTGGCTGGGCCTGGCTGCAGCAGGAGCTATGCAGGGGGGGCACGGGGCTTTTTTGCTGGAAGAGACTGGACCTGTGCAATCAGAGAAAGACCAGATGTGTAAGGCCCAAAGGTAAAAAGATAACACCTCCATGAATGAAGTTGGATCCCGGTTAAGAGTTGCACTATGACATGGGGTATCCCAAGATGATATAAATATAGGGCTCAGTTGCAGTTGCCAACCATCACCCTGCGGTTCTTCCCTTCCCTTCCAGTAGCAGATACCACGCTCCCCCGCTCGCTCCCCCGCGACCGGTCACGTCCCCAGTCTGCGGGTCCATCGCAACGGGACGACCGAGGCCTGGCGCCAAGAGGTCTTGCACAGTCGCATCGCCCGCGCGGAGAAGGAGGGGGAGACTCCATCGGTAGACCGGGGAGACCTATGGGACTGGAAGAACGTGCTGGGAAAACGAAGAACCGAGGAGAATCATGTCTTCAATGTGTATCATTCTTTTGATGGAAGCTTCCTGAAGCTTCCAAATGTCAACATAGAATCCATTTTGTCAGTACAGTACAATTTAATGCATGGTTTCACTGAGGATCTAGAAGAGCACCGCACTTTCGGTGCGTTTCTGGGGTCAACCAGTTCTGGAAAGAATGAGCACTTCTATGATATATGCAAGTTACAGGGCTTCTAAGGCTTGTTGAGTACACCTTTTTGTAAGACCTTTTTGGAATAAGCTGTCTAGGAGCTCTGGTATGGAAATGGCGAGATGAGCATCGACAAAAACTCCTGACAGTCTCACGATGAGATCAGTCCTGCCCGTGACAACAAACCACGACCAGAAACGATCAAACATCGTGGCATGCTTGTCAAGGGGAATCGTTTCTCGGAGTTGATCCAATTCGTAGTTGCTTCACCCTTCGTAGTTGGTTCATCCAAGAACATCCTTACAAAGTCGAATCCTTCAGCGTCATTGGTCGATTGCTCCGCCCGCTGGATCCGTGGGTGGAAGGATCGGGGCGGATCCGCGCCGGGCGAGTGGGCCGAGTCGGGGATCGGGGTGACGGCACCGAGAGAGTTTCTGGCTATTCTTTGCAGTGTCTTCTAGCTTCTAGTAGTAGTAGTAGTAGTAGTAGTAGTAGTAGTAGTAGTAGTAGTA